GCAAGGTCTAGTACACGAACAACGCCAAGTCCACAGCTGACACTATGTTCTCGACTAGTACCCAGATCAAAGAATACTAATAATGAGGTAGGCCGCAGTAGAATATTACCTTCAAAGAAGGAATTGCTGCCAGTAGCCAAGGAGTTTAAAATGATAGAGGACCTGAATAAGAAATTTATATTTCTAAGCAGATACATCAATAGGAAAGAGAATCAGTCTGCCACGATTTATCTTGATTTCCTCCATTAGGTCCAGTTGTTATACACGGCAGTCGGCAAGGAGGGACACACCCTGAGCATTGATGTTTGGGGCAAAGTACTGTTAGCTTTCCTCCCGGACACCTAGATCTAGCAAGATGCCATACCAGTTATTTGTGAGAGCATGGATGGACATACCTTTGAGCAGTTGATAGATACTTTGGAGAACTTTGTTACTTTTACTTTTCCTTTTTAGAGAACTGTAATTAAGGATGACTTTTGATGTGACTGGTTGTGACGGGTTGAACCAAGTTGCTGTTTTATATGCATAGAGGTTATATATAAAAGTTATATAACGATGTTGTTCCTTTTGTAGTTAAGAAGAAATAATGGGTATGATAAGAATAAGATGTAGTACATAAGAAGAGGAAGAATAGAATAGGCGCCCTGTTGACCCGATTCAAATAATGTTGAGCTGATTAGAGGAATAATAGAAAATGATACAAGAGTTATGAGCAACCTAAGCTCATCAGGAACAAGAAAGGGATACTACAATAGCAGCAGCAGTAACAGTAGCCATAGCACAGTTTTAACAACCCGGGCAAGGAGCTACCAGGACGGCCCAACCAGTCCAACCCCAACCCCAACGCCAAGAATCAATAGTAGAGCAGGCAAGGCCTACAAGGGAACCAGATAATTTGCAATAATGGATTACACACTTTTGCAAGCATAATCCACCAGTGTTTGAGGGCACACTAGATGCGCAAATAGCCAAAGATTGGATTACCCAGCAAGAGAAAATCTTTAGAGTGATGGATTGCTCATTCGAGATCAAAGCACAGATGGCAATCTACAAGCTAGAGGGAGAAGCTAATAGGTGGTGGAAGAACTCAGAGTTAGTCCTCCAAGCTGCCAGGGCATCGATCACTTGGGAATCTTTTAAGGATCAATTCTTCCAGAAGTATTTCCCAAGATCAGTGGGGGATGAGAAGGCAACTGAATTCCTCACTACAAAGCAAGCGGAAGATAAACCTTTCGACGAGTATTTGGCGCGATACATTAAGTTATCTCGGTACTCTACCTATCTGTAACATATGAATAATGAATGGTGGTTCACTGAGAAAATGATTAGGGCCCTAAGATTGGAACTGAGAGAAAAGGTAGCCTTGAGACAAATTGAAAATTTCAATAAAGTAGTGGAAGCCTACCAAATCACTGAAAGTAGTCAGAATTATTATGGTCATACCAGGATAATGCCGAGGGCTGACAAACCTCTGGCCAAGGTGATGACTGAGGGAGCTTCCTATAGCAATAGGAAGAAGAGAAAATTTAATTTTATTAAATAGCCTAAGCGAGGCATACGTCGAGGAGGACCGAACATGTTTAGACAGACTCGAATTTATGAAACTTGTGGCAGAAATAACTGAGACTGGCTATGCATAGCGGGTCAAAACTTATGCTTTCGTTGTGAAAAACCCAGACATTTTGTGAGGGAGTGTCTGCAAAGTATCGATAGTTTCTGGCCATAGACCCAAGACCGAGTGTTCGCTCTAACACAGGAAGAGACTCATAAGTCGCCCGAGATGATTCGAGGTATGATTAATATAAATAATTGTACAAGACGGAATGTTTGATTTGGGTGCAAGCCATTTGTTATATTACATAATTATGTTGGGAAATTGAACTTTACTATTGATACATTGCCCTGTGATTCATATGTTTTCACTCCTACTGACACTAGAGCAGTAATCTCTGGTGTGTTTGGATTATATTGTCCAGTATGCATATTGTTGTGCTATCCATGATCCGATATGTATGCCATCTTGTGATATTGATTTGAAAATTGTCCTGGATTGATTTTCATTTAATAGTGTTCTCCTTGATTGCAAGAGTAAAAACTTTAATCTTCCCTCCCAAGGAACTTGCCTCTCGCCTAAAGATGAGATTGAATTCTATTAGTGAGGCCTAGACAAAGAAATATTGTGGTAGGATTGCCAGGGTACATGGTAACTTTTCAGTGTAGGTAAGGATAAAAGAGGAATTAAAGGAGATGCCAATGATAAGGACATGTTCGAAGAAATTCTCAAAAGAGATTAGTGGACTTCCACATGAAAAAGGAAAGTAGAATTTATGATTGAGGGGATGTTGGAATGGGTCTAATTTTCAAAGACTCCTCACCACATGACCCCTGATATAATGGCTGGGAGTATAATATACCTAATAGAAGTAGGAGTCTATACCCTAGTAGGAAAGCAAAGTGACAACTTAAACATCAAGTAATCGATGTGACCTCGATAGAGGTAAGATAATAAGATAAGATGTTTGAGGTTTACTTAAATCCCTGAATAAGAGGTAGAAATTTTTTAGGGATGATGAATCAAAAGGGATAAGGATTAGATGATATTGAATAAAGAATTAATGATAAGTTATGACACAGTAAAGTGATTAAATAATTGCTATATAATATGATCAGCGTATGATAATCAATATCTGACCATAAAAACGATTGGTCAAGAGGTACAGAAAGTTAGAAAGAGTAGTGTCAGGCAAGATCTCTCTTAAGGATAAAGTTGAATGGAGATAGATGAGAATGTGATATTTAATGGTTACACTGGGAATCGATATGTAATAAGAGATAAGAAAATTCCCAATGATACCTAAAACCTGATGATGCTAAGATATTTGATAATATCAGGGATTATATAGTACTCTTTGTGTCTCTAAGGTGTTTAAGAGTGTGCAACTACAGCACCCAGGCCAGTGTGGAACCCAAGAGACAAAATTCCTACTGATGAATGTCACTAGCTATGGGATTAAATAATTTCAGTGGAGAGGTTCCCTTTAATAGGGATGTGGCATTGAGTAGTGTACCCTGACGGAGATTGAATGCAAGAAAGGTCTTGGCCACGAAGTACCTCTTCAAGATTGGATGTGCTCCTCTGCCACAGAAGTAATACTACTCTTACAAGAGCAAGTTAATCTCAACAGAAATTATAAATAAATAGCCTGAATGGAGTTGATAGTAATATATCCTCCATCGATAGTACTAGAATGGTGAACAAACAGTTGCTCTGGTATGAGCAATGCGTCCTCCCACGAGGATAAATTCTTTAATGAAGATAGTGGGAAGCAATGGAGGCAAGGTGGAGTGGATCTTACCCTGAGGAGAGCAAAACTGGTCAAGAGTAATGGGAAAGTATTATGAGGCAGATACGTGAGACTCCTCGAACTTAATAGGGTACTATAATATGGTGATAGGTAATAAGAACATAATGATATAAGCCCTCTCCCGATACTGTTTTGAGCTGATGAGAGACAACAAGGACTATAGAGTCTTAGGGTAAGGTAGATCAGTATTGACACGAAGACAAGCTAATGAGCTCTACAGATGAGCCAGTGCCTAAAGATTCAAGAGGCACCATGAAAGAAAGTGACCTAAAGTAGCTAAACTCAAGGGCTAAGGAAATATGAAAAGGCTAAGAATTTCAAAGTTGACAAGAAGTATTAAGCAAGGTCTAAGAAAGCAATATTGGTGTCTGTAATCAATCTTGGCGAATGATCAATCAAGTTATCCATGGAGTGGAGGTGACTTATTTTATTACTCAATCCCATGGTTCAAGATCTCCTAGAGATATTAACATGGCAAGTGATGATGATGATAATGGTAATAGTGATGATGATAATGGTAATAGTGATGATGATAACAATGATGACAATGATAATATTCCAAGATCACAGTAGATCCTGAAGAGGCTTACAATAGAGCATAATGGCTCCCAAGATCACTATAGACCAAGCCTAAAGGAAAGACGCTAAGTAGAGAGGGTTATGCCCCTCGAGGTATAAGTATAAGATGACATGCTAAGCTGTGAGAATGATTCCTCTTGAGGCTTAATAATGAGATGATCAGGGATGAGATTAAAATATAAAGCTGCAAAACATCAATGCAAAGCTAATTAAAAATATGACTAATTCTTTTAATAGATGCTTATATTAAATAAACATATTTATAAATGTTTGTAAAATTGAAATATATTATTAGAATTATTTTTATGTAAGTATATATTTTTATTCCATTTTAGAATTATTGTCAAAATAATTATTTGGTTGAATAATGATGTCTGGCAACGCATGCATTAAGGGTAATATAAAAAAGAATTTTTATAACAAACAAAAAAAGAGACTTTTTTAGGCCACTGAATATTGATCGAGAGCAATATAAAAATCCTTGAATAATGATGTCAGGTGGCGCATGCAGTACAAATAAAAGGAAAAATTAATCTGGAAGTCCTTATAGTTCCAGTGAGTTTTGAATTAGGTCCTTGAGGTTTTTTTTTCCTTTTTATTAGATCCTTTAACATTTTAATGTTATATTTATTAGTCCTTCTGTTAAATAAAATAAACACCATTAGAAATCTACAATTGACTCCTAAAACATTCTTCTCCTTTTCTCTCTTTTGGCCATAACCCAGACCATGCTCTCATCCCTCTTTTGTTCATTCCTGGACACATTTCTCTTCTTCGTCGTTCTCCTGACTTCACCATTCCTTCCCACCTTTCCATAATACCTTCCCTAAGGCGTCACAAGAATAAAGTACTGTATATAAAAGAATGAAGCCATTTGTCTCTGCTCATTCACGGATTGTTCCTTGTGAGTGGGTAACGTGTTATAGGAGACTTGTTTTCTTTTTACCAAGTTGTAGATGATTGTGTTGATTTGCTTTTTATCTTTTTCATGTTTTTGCAATAGCAATGGATGCATGTTTAATCTTTAATGTGATTGTTTCAATTTCAACTTTGCTTTGAATTAGAAAGCTATTGTATGCTGAATTTGATGCTCTTGGTTTAATAGAATATATTGTTAGTTTCAGAAAGACTTAGCAAATATCAATATTTGCAGAACCCAACTCTCACAAAAAGCTTCCCAACCATATTCCTCTACCGCCATAACCAAAACCACAGACGCCGGAGATTTAGTCTTTTGATATCACCACTGATATGGTATTTAATTATTTGTTTTCCTTCTATGCTTTGTAGGTTACCAATATATTTGCATTTATGAAAAGTAATTTATTGATTTTTTTTTTTTTAGGTGGTGGAATCCTTGATGACAATGGAAGAATGGGGAGTCCACCAACAAGCAGTACTACCCAAATATCCAAACACTGTGGCTTTGGCGTTTCAGCTTCTCAGATAACATTGTCCCTGCTGATGACACCGACGGGAACGAATGGCGAGGTAGGGAGAATGGTAGGAAAGAAAAGGATGCTGACGAGAGCATGGTTTGGGGGAGCAAAAGAGAAGAATGCTTCAGGCATCAACTGCAGAATGGCGTTTATTTTATTTAACAGAAGGGCTGATAAATATATAACATCAAAAAGTTAAAGGACCCAATAAAAAAAAAAAGAAAACTTAAGGACCTAATTCAAAATAGATTAATTTTTTCCAGATAAAAAAGATTTTTTTTTGGCCCGTTGGACATTGTGGGCCCATTTAGGAAACAACACAAAAATTGTAAAAGAATGACACCAAGTTAAAAAGACAATTCTTTTTTTTTTTAATTTTGCAAATAGTTATCTATTACATTTTTTAGATATTGAGATAAAAACTTAATTAATTTAATTAAAAAAAAGAAAATTAATTAAAAATAGGTTTAATTCTTTTAATAGATACCTACATAAAACGTGTTTATAAATGTTTGTAAAAAATATAATATATTATTAGAATCATTTTTAGGTAAATATATTTTTATCCTATTTTTGAATTATTGTCACTGCTTCAGCAAAGTTAACAGTAGGGCAGACGGGTCTGGGACCTTCTTTCCTTTCATAGGCTGGAGCAAACCTTGCGTTTACATAGCTATGCCCTTTAGTTGCATGTTCAACGTTCAACCTATGTAGGATCGCAATCTCCTGCGAAGTCGGTGCCTGTAGTGATATCCTAAGTCGGCTACCTCTCCCACTCATCAAGGCATACCAGACTATTGCCAAGGGAGATCGGCGGAGTTCTCTATGCCCCTTGGGTGTGTTTGGTATGAGGGATTTGGGAGGGAGGGGAGGGAAGGGGAGGGATTTTAATCATTTCCCTTTGTTTGGCAACACACAAATTTTAGGAGGAGAGGGAAAAATTTTTAAAATTTCCCCTCCCCTCCCCTCCTCAACCTCCCCTCCAAAATTGGGAGGATTTGGAGGGAAAAGGCAATATTTTGTCATATTATGACTATTATGCCTATATTTTGTCATGTTGTAACCATTATGTCTATATTTTGTCATGTTGTGACAATTATGCCCATGCCTTAAATAAAATAAGAGCAAAATTGTTTATATTAAAATATTTTTCCCTCCCCTCCCCCTCTTTTTTTATAAATCCAAACAAGATAATATTAAAATCCTTCCACTCTCCTCCCCTCCCCTTCCCTCCATTAAAATCCCTCCCCTCCCCTTCCTCTCATTGAGCCAAACATACCCTTAAGGCCGGTTTAACAGAATTTTTACCGGCCGGTTTGCTTTTTCACCTGTTAAGCCATGGCACTTGACCAAACAGGTGACCTGTTCACGATCGAACCATTTGGTCGAATCTGATTCTAATAATATGATCTAAAATATCGAGGTTTCATTTATTGTTTGTTAATTTTGGAATTTTCAGTTATTTTTTCTCCAGAACTTTTTTAATAATTTGATTCTTTATATACAAGTTCAATTCAATTAGAATAAGGATTCATTTGGCATGTACGTAGTAAAATATAATGAAAATAACGAAAATATATGCAATTAATCATGCTATGCTTGGCTCGTGTAGAATATATATATGAAGTAGAAAAATGAGTTGTATATATTACCTCCGGTCTTTAATATAAGATTTTATTTGATTTTTATTTTGGTTATAAATATAAAACCCCAATCCATTTTGTCTCTCATATTTATATTTTTTTTTCAAGATAATCCTTTTAACAATGGTAATTATAGTCAATATACTTAATTAGTAAGGATATTTTAGGAAAGACAACACCTATTTATTACAAATAACTAACTTAACTCTTTTCTTAATTCTCTCAACTTAGTCAATTAACTCTTATAATTAGGACCAGAAGTAGTATATTACTTGTCATTATATATGAATAATATAATTTATTGTAGATCTCATATTGCGTTTTTTATTCACTTTGACTCTGAGCTTCTTTTTTTTTTTTTTTTAATGAATAATGGGGATAGGGAAGAGACAAGCATGAACATGGATGGGACAACATTCAATATGAAGTGATGTCAACTGATCAATTGGGCTGTGTTTGGAGAATAAATCACCCAAACACCCACCCAAAAACCAAAACCATGGTTTTAGCTCGAAAACCATGGTTTTGGAAAAAGCAAATTTTTTTTGCTTTTGGAGGAAAAAAGAAAAGTGTGAGAGCCTATAGGATATATATCTTGTTATTTTTTTTATAAACATATTTAATCTTATATTTTATAAATATATATACATATTAATTATTTATTAATTATATTATCTTATGTATTATTAATTATGTTAATAAAAAATATATTATTAACAATTTCATTCCTTCAAATTAAAATATATCATAAAATCTATTTTTTCTGTAATTATCATATTAACTTATGTCTTTTTTTTAGTAATTTGTATATATAAAAAGTGCTTCTGATAACAACTATCCAAACACTCTCACTTCTCAAAATCACTTTTTCATAAAATCTATTCTTTCCAGAATCTATTCTTCCCAGAATCTATTCTCCAGAATCACTTTTCCAAACCACGGTTTGGTTTCATCTAAATACATCCCAAATTTATATAATGAAAAGCTATTCAGATGGTACATTCACTGAAGGGAAATTGATCCCTTTTGGGACTATTGAGATCAATCCCAATTCTTCAATCTTAAATTATGGACAAGTAAGTTCTTAATTATCTTGTAATAGTATATTGATTTCTAGTTTAATCCAGACGAAAAATTTAGTTAGAAATTATATTAGGCATTGTTTTGGTGTTTTCTTGCGTCATTTTTCTGTTATTGCATGTTTTGCCCCAATTTATATCATCTTCATTACTCTTGCAATACTTTCTCTAGATATTAATTAGTTACTCCAAATTCAGTAAAAATCTCAAAGACGAAGAAATCATGTATGTATTTATTCCACATATGAGGCCTTATTCTTATTATAATCTATAATAATTAATTTCAACAAATTAAATATGATTAGATCTACCTAAACACAACCAATTGGGAGATCACAAATCAAAACCTGGGAGTGATTCTTTAAAGTCAGTTGCCCTATAATTCATAACCCATGTCCAATGCAACTTTCCACAGGCTTTTGTTTTACATGGGTTCTTAAGTTCTTTTATTTATTTATTTTTCTGGACTAATAAAGGAATATATGATTTATGATAATATATATATTGAATAGAGATTATTTGAAGGGCTAAAAGCATACAGAACAAACGATGGTGGGATTCAAGCATGAACAATTTATTCATGCTGTCAAACAAGTTGTTCTTGCAAATCAACGTTGGGTAATATAATATACTATAATATTAATGCTTAATTAATTCTACTTTCTTTTACTTTCCTCATATATATAACTTCTTAAAAGTTTGATGATTTTTTTTTCAAAAAAAAAAGTTGTATATATAGTTTCGCTTGATCTTTAATTTAGTCTCTACTTTTAGAGTGCTGATATATTTTGTTCAAATTTATTGATGTAACTATTCATATCTTGTGTTTGGAGTTTTGGCATTCTAATTATCGTTTTCTAATCTCTAATTGTTTTTCATTTTTTACTAACACAATATCTTGTGTTTTGAAAATTTTTTTAATTTTTATATGTTAAAAGGAACACGAATATACAATCACATTGGTAGTATTGCTATCTTAAACCCAACAATACTCGAATTTGATCGCATCAGTAGCATCATATGCTACCTCTGATCTTTAATATAAGACCCTGTTTGATTTTTATTTTAGTTCTAAATATAAGACTCTAATCCACTTTGTCTCTCATATTTATACATTTTTTTTTCAAAGTAGCCCTTCTAATAATGATAGTTTTAGTCAATACACTTGATTAGTAAGGATATTTTAGGAAAGACAACACCTATTTAGGACAAATAACTAACTCAACTTACTTCATTAATCTCCTCAAATTAGTCAACTGGTTCTTATAATTAAGACCGGAAGTAGTATCAAATAATTATGTCAATATATGCTTCTTATACGCAGATTTATGTCTTACATTAATTTCAGATGCCTCCTTATGGAAAAGGATCATTGTACATTAGGCCTCTGTTATTTGGAAGCGGATCAGTTACGAGTATTTCACCTGCACCAGAAACCACCTTCTTAATATACACTAATCCAATTGGCAATAAATATAAGGTGAGATTTATTATGGGTTAATTAATCCTTATAGTTTCAACGAACTTTGAATTAGGTCCCTATAGTTTTTTTTCTTTTTATTAGGTCCTTATACTTTTACCTTTTTTTAATTATATCCTTGTATTTATTTTTCTTTTAATTAAATCCTTATAATTTCACTAAATTTTTAATTAGGTCCATGTAGTTTTAATTTTTATTTATTAATTAAATATAAGCTTAATTAAATAGATTAATACTGAAATATAGAATATTAATAATTAAATTAAATTAATAATTATGTAATAAAAAAGTAATAGAATTAATTAATTCAGGAAAATTTTTTAGAACAATTAATTTTTTTGCTGAAAAAATTAAAATCATTATAATAATTCAATATCTTTAGAATATTATTGTTTATAAACTAATATTAAATAATATATACTATTTTATGTTTATATAATAGTACTATTAGAATTTATAAAATAAAGAATAAAAAATTCAGGGACTTAATTAAAAATAGGGTGAACTTATAAAGACTTGATAAAAAGAAAAATAAATACAAGAACCTAATTAAAAACAGGTGAAAGTATAAGGACCTGATAAAAAGAAAAAAAAACTATAAGGATTTGATTCAAAATTAGTTGAAACTATAAGGAGCTGTGGATTAATTATCCCATTTATTATCTCCAATAATGATTCGGTAAACTTTAATTTGATTTAATTAATTATAAACATTGGTTTCATTTGTTAAGATGATGAAGCTTTAATAAGAACATCGTTACTTGTGTTTTTTTTTTCTTTTTATTGGGTATATGAACTAATATTTATAATTGAGTAAACTGAAAGAACTCAATAAAAAAAAAATCACAGAGAAATGATTAAAAATTAGTTAAAATTATAAAGACTGACAAATTAATTTTCTTTTACATTTTTTTAGTATCGATTACTTCCTTTCTATTAATGTATTTTCATGTATGGAACAGGGACTCGGTGATATGTATTTGTTAATTGAAGATAAAGTTGCTCGTGCTATTTCCGGGGGAACTGGTGGAATAAAAAATATAAGTAACTATTCACCTCGAAGCATATACTCCTCTTGTCTTTAATATAAGACTTATTTAACTAATTTGATTAGATTAAAGAAGTTATGTATGTTAGTTAATTATAAGAAATGTGACACGTTTTTCCTAAAATACTATAATCATCTTTCTTAATACCTCATCATCTTCTTCTACTTGATTATGGTTGAGGGAGTATTCATAGGGGTAATTTAGAAAAAATTAATAAATATGAGAAATGGGTCTTATATTTAGGATCAAAACCAACTCAATAATTAGATCCTATATTAAGGATCAGAGGAGTAATTCTTTCTTACAACAACATAATATCATCACAGGACTATAAGTAGCTAAGATTAGATCTAGTATTAAATATAATTTAAATTAAAAAAATAAAGTAGTTTTTTAATTTGTTAACCACAAGTAAAAACCCACATCCCACATGTTTGTACTTGTGACCTCAGCTAGACATTGCTACTCCTTTGTGTCTTGTCATCTTGTCATCTAGTCTGTTATGAGTTTCACACAGAAAAACCTCATAACAATTCTGAGATTGAATTTTTTAATTTAGACTTTGCCCGTGACATTAGTTTTTTTGAGGTTTGGCTATGTGTCTTAGAGGAGCACTTAACTGCGGAGACTAAAACTTGATGCTTTATGATCAGCATGATTTTTCAACAGATTTAATAAATCATATTAAATACTGGCGTTGATAATAAATGAATTAAAGTGTAAATTTTTTTCCAAAAGTTTTCATTCAGAGCATCAAGTACCTAGAAGTTTTTTTTTTTTTTTTTTTTTGCGTAAAGTTGCCCAATAAATTTAAAATTGTAACAATAATACTTTATATCATTAAAAATATTAAAGGTCAATGTCACTATTTGAATAGTTAATATTAATTTTTTAATGATAGAAATAATATTACCATGATTTTAAATTTCTAAAACAAATTTGCATCCAAAAAAATTTTTAAATGTTCAACACTCCTAAATAAAAACTTTTAGAATAAATTTATGCCTTAACCCGTGATAAAGAGTTAGCTGGATAACCAATTCCCAAGTTTTACAGCAACCAACCCAATGACATGTAAATTTCTTGTAAGCCGCAGCCGAAGGCAGCCACTTGGTTCTGCTTATCCTCAGCGTTTGAACTTTTGATTGGAAAAAAAAAGACACCGGAGCAATTAAGCTATGATCTGTTGAATTTTACTTTCATTTTTAATATAAAAACTAGTTAATTAATTTAAATAAATTTAAAAATTTATTAAATTAGTTATTTGTTATAAATAGGTATTATATTTTTTAAATTATTCTTACTAATAATATATATTAACTAGAACTATTATTTGATAAAATCTTTAACATATATAATTATTATAAAAGTTATTTTTTAAAAAAAGATTCGAAAGAAAAAATAAATGGGTCTTTTATATCTAAGAACAAATAAAAAACTAAAATGGCTGGTAAAAAAAATTAAAAATTAAAATGAGTGTTATATAGGTAGTAATAATACCATGGCCTGCAGCTTGTTTTTCTTTCTTTATAATTCCCAACGCCTTGTGTTCCTCAGACCAGCCTTGTCTTCTGCCACTGAAGTTAAACCCAAAAATGGCGATCACCTTGCAGACTCCACCCTGTGCTTCTCTGGCAGCTTCATCGTGCAATCAGGTATTTTCTTCCACTCTTTCTTTCAATTTTCTTCATTCCTTAGCTCCTTCTCATTGTGATTTTTTCTGGATTTAACTTCAGCGACGATCTAGATTTTCAGCTGCTGCCACTCCTCCTCTACTCTTCAAATCTCACAGACTCTTCACTCAAATCCGTGCCTCCGCTGGATCCTCTTCCTCTGTCGACGCCGGTAATTGTGATGTTTATCTTCTTGTTCTATTTCTCTTCATCTCTCGTTTTATTTCATTTGCTTAGTATGATATGAATGCCAAGTGAATTTTGCTTTCAGGTCTGATCACTGAATTGGATGCTGTGTCAGGCTTCAGTGAGATAGTTCCTGACACTGTCATTTTTGATGACTTCGAAAGGTAGATTTGTTTTTCCATCTCGTTTCCCTCCTCCTCCCTGGTTGATAACTATGGAATGCAGAGGAGTGTTTATTCAGATCACTTATGTTTGATTGGGTTATTTTTTACTGATGAATTCACATAAAGGTTCCCCCCTACGGCTGCTACAGTCAGTTCATCGCTTCTGCTTGGTATATGTGGCCTACCAGACACAATATTTAGGGTCAGCTTCTTATCCTTTAAAAGGAGTCAGATTTGAAAATGTTACACCTGCACTTTGGTCTGATTGATTCAATCATCTTTTGCGCAGAATGCTGTGGATATGGCTTTGGCAGATTCTGAGTGTTCCGGGCTTGCTAGTTCTGACGCAAGATGGCCTTGTTTCTTTAACAAGGTGTTTTTCACCATCGTCGCTCACTTGCTACAATTTAGTTTTACTAATTAATTAATTATTTATTTTCAGAAGACCTTGATATATGAACAATTTGCTATCGCATTTTCCGCTGGTAATTCTTTCAAGGAAATGGTCTTGCATTTGTAGGCTTTAGTGAATGTTGGGGGTGATCTGGCAAAACTAGTCCCTGGTCGCGTTTCAACTGAAGTGGATGCACGTCTTGCTTATGACACCCATGGCATCATCAGGAAGGTAATGAATTGATTGTATTTCTTTACAGATGCATATACTCGTCTATCAGTGCATTAAGGAGAAATAAGTACAGGTGAGAAATATAACATCAAAAGTTTGATTTCACTGCTTCTCGAACTCGATTAAATTATTTATAATTTTAATGTTGAAGGCGATAGGGGATTTACTGCCTTCTTTCTGCTGTGCCAAATCAAAGTTCTTGAAAAACAGATGTAACTGTGAGAGGTCTTCCCTATCCTTGACTAGGTGCCATAGTATTTCGGATGTCTATAATGCTGGTATTTTGGGCAAGACAACACAAGAAATTATGCATAGATGTCCCGCTTTCCGCGATAATGAGCATCATGGCATGTGGGCGATGCCAATATTCAAGAGAGAAGTACTATTTTTTTTTTTTTTAAAATTTTGTGTACACAAGTTTTTCAACAGTCTATGAGTCTCGTATCAGCTTAGATGATGAAACAAAAGTCCTTCGTTTTATGACTTCTGAATTTCAACACAGAACTGTGGAATTTTCACTTTCATAACGGTTATTGTTTTGTGTCATGCTGCAATTTAACGCTACTGATTATCAAATTATGCAGGTGCACGACCTTTTGAAGTTGTACAATGATATTAATGTTCCTCCTCAACGCCTATTGTTTAAAATTCCTTCAACCTGGCAAGTGAGTGATAATGCAAATTGGATTTGTTATGATGCCTTGCGGTTAAACTTCATGTGCTATTGGATTTATGGTCTATTTATATATTTATTTACGTTTCATTTTTAGGGAATAGAGGCTGCAAATTTGCTTGAATCTGAGGGCATACAAACACATTTGACTTTTGTTTACAGGTAATTCCAAGAGTGGTCATAGAAACCTAGGATCATAGATGATAATTCCATTCACATTCTCTTATTAACATGAGACTGATTTAGAGAGACCTGATATCGTTGCTTTTCAAAGAAATGATTATTCCGGACTAGTTTTCAATTGGTTGAAGGTTCTTCCGGGTGACACGGAAAGCAACCCTAAACCTAATATTCACGAATGAAGCAAAATGGTCCTTGCAGAATGAAATCTAGAGGATGCAAATCGAAACAAAGCACTAACAAAATTGCTTCACAACATCAAACTATGCCATTTTTCCTTGTTGTTTCATTTGTTTAGCCAAAGGCTGTTGCCTTCCCTTCTCCCAGTATTTGCAGGTAGGGTAAAATGCCTTGGCAGAGCCTAGGCTGATTTGAAATGGTTGTATTGTATACGAGTGCACTGACTTCGTTTTTTCAGACTAGATTCTAATGTCAGCTTTATAGGACGGCATCATGCTCTTTAATTAGACATTTCATGATTATTTTTTTGTTTTCTGATGGTATAAGAAGCACTTAGTTTGACAAAAATCATAGGTTGAGTATCGATATGGGAATTTTCCTCTGGCTCTTTTCCGCAGCTACTAGTTAGTGTATATTATCTAGCATTTTTCCAAGTTGATCCAAGAAATTTTATCTCCCACATACCTAGTCATTTGATAAAATCTGCTTTTTGTTCAGCTTTGCCCAAGCTGCTGCTGCAGCCCAAGCTGGTGCTTCTGTTATCCAAATTTTTGTTGGTCGCCTTAGGGTAACTTCTACCTTTAGTGAATGAGAACAACATTTGCAGGTCTTTGCTTTACTTCTTTTTAATAATGTTATCTTTCAGGATTGGGCACGGAATCATTCAGGAGACCGAGAGATAGAATCTGCCCTAGCAAGAGGAGAAGATCCTGGTTTGGCATTGGTAAGTCATGCGAAATTGATGTTATGCTTTAGCTCTGCTTCAAAAAAAAAATTTTTTTTTTTTTGGGGTGTAAAATCACATCTATGATGTTTGGGAACTCTTAGAAGTAAAGCCTATACTATATCTGTGACATCTAAGTGAAAGTCAGCTACTTTAGTATGACTTGTTGGGATCTTCTTGGTTTACTCAACTGCAGTTATAAGAGTCCGAGAGTAAAAGTAGTAATGACATTCTCTTAGCATTATTATTATTGCAGGTGACAAAGGCTTACAATTATATTCATAAATATGGACACAAGTCAAAGTTGATGGCAGCAGCTGTGCGCAACAAGCAGGACTTATTGAGTCTTCTTGGGTATTGAAATACTCCCCCCTGTGATGTCTGATTTAAAAGTGGATTCAATTTTTTTTTTTTACGAAAGAAGCATAACGTCTTTTGCTGTCTATTGCTCCTTGAATAGGGTTGACTATATCGTAGCACCATTGAAGGTTTTGCAGTCTCTCAAAGAGTCTGTCACTTCTCCTGATGAGAAGTACTCTTTTGTTAGAAGACTGTCCCCTCAGTCTGCTGCTAATTACACATTTAGTGATGAAGAGGTACGAGCTTAGCTCCAAATGCCATGTCACTTATCCCTTTATAAGTTGGAATTTCAGTTTTGGTACTGAAAAATAGGTTTGGTACTAGTATTAATAGGTTTCTTCCCACCGTTTGCAATGTATTGTGTTGATGTCCACTGGTCTTTTTTTCGATGACATGAATGGCACATCAAGAGCAACTTTAAACCGCATGATGCTTGTCTTAATTTTAATCCATTGATTTAGAGCATGGTAGTGAGTCAGATTTTTTTGTCGGCTATTAACAGAACACAAGTGTCATTGCTGAGTGGCACTTCTGTTTGATTGATATGAATGATTGCATATTGACAAAAGCAATTGCTATTGTTTCTTGAGTATTTCATCCTTATGGAACAAATGGAAGTGCCAAGGTGCGCTCTATTTTACTCTTTTGGAGGAGATGGACCATCTATCATGTTCACTTAACCTTTTTCTTTTCCATTTTTTAATGACCGGATCAGTTCACTATTTGAAGAATCAGGGATAATTAACATGGAAAAATAAACCCAAAAAAAAAAAAAAAGAATCTTATTTTATTTTCAATGAATGTTAAATTTGTTTTATGTTAGATTTTATATCTAGTAGAGGACAAGTTCTTCTCACTTTGTTGGCGTGTGGAATGTGTTTTCTTATTTATTAAGATTCGTTTGTTAGGATCATTGCATTACTGAACTGGAAACAGAACCTGAACAACTTTAGCTATCATTCCTTCATGACCTCTCTTTATGCCATCCCAATATCTATTTAGGCTTCCTTAAATTCCTCAATTATTACCTGAAGAACTGCAGAACTTCTGGGCAAATTTTGCATTCATCAATTTACCACTATGGTCTTGAGGAAAAATGTGGAGCATTCTCAACCATTTTGTGTGTGTGTGTGGGTGTGTAGCATTATTTATTTTCATGTTTTAGTTTTTGTGTGCGTGTGTGTACTAATCTAAGTTGGATTAATAAAAAGAAAAATGATCTATATATCATTGACATGAAATTAAGAACTGACAGATTGCTCTGAGATTTTAGTACTGCCCAACTTTGCCAAATAATAAAGTTCCTTTGCTAATTGATATCCATTTATATTCAGCTTGTTAAGTGGGACCAGATGAGCCTTGCTTCAGCAATGGGCCCAGCAGCTGTGCAACTTCTTGCCGCCGGACTAGATAGCAATGCTGATCAAGCGAAGCGAGTGGAGGAGCTATTTGGCAAGATCTGGCCACCCCCAAATGTATGAATTGGATCCTGTCTCCTCACTTCTTTTTCGTCTTCACTGAATAAACTAAACATAAAGGGCCCTGCATGACATCTTTTTTTCGTTTCTTCACTTTAATATCGAAACGCTTTCCTCTGATGTAAATTAAATCCAGTTCCTGGAAAATATTTGTTATCAAAATTTCCTCTTCGTTGTTGTACTTGAATTCCTTTTTCTTTTTTATTAAATTGCGATTTGGAGGCTTGCATTAGAATGCCTCAATTTGGAAAGATAAATGTGATAATGTAACGAGTGCTAATACTTGAGAGAATCACCCTCCAAAAACTAATCATTGCAGTTGGCGGGTTCAAATCTCACATAAGACCCCTACTTCAAGATAATCCTTCTGGTGTGAAACTCATGACAGGTAAATGTTGAAAGAGAGTTAAGG